TACCCACGTCTACGTCTCTCGTCCTACCTACTACTATATATATATATATATATATATATATATATATATATATTATAGTATGGTTAATAGTACAATTTCTTCTAGAAGGTAGCTAACACAGAATGTTTATTATGTTAATTATATAAATTACCCCAAATTACTGATCAGACTTATGTCTGGATACAGAAAAAGGCATAGAAACTCCTGATTAAAATAGAAAGGTTTTCCGGTCAGCTTTCCAACTCGGGATTAAGTGAAACTTGCTACTGCATTTTGGTAAACAAGCTAAAAAAATAACTAAATTATACATTAAAGTAGCACTTTATTAAAAGAAATCAGTCTACAAATACACTCACTCGTGTTCTTTGTCCTAAGTAAAATATAGCTTGTTTCCCTCCAACTCCAAAGTAAGATATTTCACTGTTTAAGGAACGTGGAATCTCAACATCAAAATTTTCCTGGCTCTTTGGAGAACTTTACAAAGACATAGAAAGAAATTAGGAATATATCTTCAAAATCATTTATTTTAGGCATTTTAATATTCATATACAAATTCACTCTTAAAAGTAATAAAAACTTTTTGCAAATCATTATTTACAGTAAGAATATAAAAATATTATTGTATAAAAATTGGTGTACGCAAGTGTGTGTTAATTATCTCAGGAGTAAACTAGAAAAAAACACATTAATGCAATCAGTATTACACAGAAAGTGTATCAAAAGTTGTTGCATCTTGAAGTTTCATTTCATTTTTAATGTTATATTTAAAAAACTTTAAAGTTTGCATATGTTACTCACTCCATTAGTACAAATTGGATTTTTACAATTAAGTTCTAATTATTTTAACAGTTAATCAATCTTTTTGACTTTGTAAAATATTTATATCCAAACCCGAAAATAAAAATGTTTATATTTGTTCTGACATTTTCTTCTCCCTTCTGGATTATAATGCAACAATTATATTAACTCACTATTGCTTAGAGTTTTCTTTCCGATGGAACTTGGACAATCTGTACACTGCCCAATCTTTCAACTGACTGGCTGTCATTCCACATCCATTGTCTATGACAAAGATCACTGGAATTGGATCCAAATGCTGAAAATTTTTAAGTAAAAAAAACATGCCAGTTAAGATTATAATACTGAATATCATGGGTGTCTAATTAGTATATTTATACATAAATTAAACTAACTATTGTTTTGTCATATCTCATTTTATCTCCAGGTAAATAATTTTTTTTCCCAAAAATATGTCAATATGGTTTTGCTACAAGGAACTTCCCTAAACTTCTTTGTGAAGTCGATAAATTTTAAAAGCTTGAGAATCTCATTTTTTTAATACTGGTGAGTAAAGGAATGTTACTTATGAATAAAAAATATTAAACAGAACTTTATATATTTATTTATTTTGCCTGACAAAATAATACAAATTTTGTACTGAATTAGTTTTTGGATAAATTTTAGCATAATTTAAAGAAAACATGTATTAATCACAAAATTCACATTAAAAACACACAACTTCTGTAACACTCCAACAAAACATTGTGAACAAACGAACTATTGAACTGATAAAGTAGTGTTTCCCTGTTTGAAATTATAAAAATATTTATAATCTGTAATATGTATACATAGGCATAATTTTCACAAGGGATGCAAGTAACATGTCCCCTGCATTTTCACAAGGACAAAATAACTTTTTTTTTTATAAAATTCCATCATGCATACTCCAGATTCAGAAATTGTTACCCCCACTTTTGACACGAAAGATATGCAATTCTTTGCAGATGATGGAAAACCTAACCTGTCAGTACCAAAGGCAAGAAGATTTTCAGATGAGGTATGTGCTGTGTCTAAAGGACACCATTCACACATGCAGACAGAAAAACATAGTGATATACATCAATCAACAAAGTTCAAATAATTGGATATATTAAACAATATTTCATTACCAAGTGTCAATAACATTTATTTTACACCAAACTAAATTATTACTTTGATTACTTTATCATTTGAATGCCAAGTCAGAGAACATATTTTAAACCTATCATATCAATAACAACTAGAGAGGCACTCAGTAAAGTGCATGCCTCATCGCAGCATTGATCATGTTCGGCCCTCAAAAAAAAAAAAAAGACAAAAAGGTATCCATATATCCGTCATTATCAATGGACATGGATCATTTTTGGCAGAACAATGAGTAATAACATTCTACATGTGTCCATCAATGTTTCATCAAAATCTGATCATTTTTGTCTGAGTTATAGAGCA